CGCGCCCTAAATACGATTACTTAGTAAGATCGCTACTTACTCTCCCTAATTATAAAGATATTACGTAACCTAGCAAACGCGAAGTAGTTTATTAAGTTAGATATTATCGCCGCCTTATACAGGATACGGATAACGCCTGGGTATAGTATAAAACCATATTCCGTGCGCGGTTTAGACTATTAAAGTAGCTAGTATACTTTTTAGGTTAACTGGCACGCGCACGATATTCTAATAATATATTAACTCGTTACTACGGGAGTGAATTCCTCCGGGTTAAATTTATTATTTATACCTTTATTACTAAACAAGGTGCTAATTACCTACTAAGGCTAGGTGTCTAAGTACGCGTTAATTAAATACTACGCCTCATTATTACTATAAAATAGCGGGCTATTAAGTTGGAGTTTTAGTCGTATAGCCTAGGACTAGGCGGTATATTCCGTGCGTTTTCTACTGAATTTTATGGGAATAGCGACTTACTATACACGGTATAAGAGCGTGGGTGCCGGTGGCGGAATAGGTACAGCGGTCTCTGCCTTTAGGGGCCCGGGTAATGGCGAGGGTATAACGATTAGGGTGGGTATCGGGTACGTAATAGGTACAAGGTATAGGTTAGGTTAAGACCTTTCGAAGGCTGTTTATAGGCTAGCGATTATAGTATAAATAGGGGCGATATATATTCTTACTACTTCCTGTATATATTATAAGACGCGTTTGTCGATTTTATTATACGAGGTCTTTACGACCTGCCTTTAGCCCCTTAGTAGGCTCGGAGCGAAGTGCCCGGGACCTCCTTTTATATAAGCGTTAAAGCTTATAATCTTATATGTTCGAATATATAACGGCTTATTAAAAGTTATTTACGTATTAAGGCCGAAAATATAGATTATTCGAATTAAGAGAGGAAAGGAGGAAACGAAAAGTCTACGCGGTGTATAGGCGGCTAAGTATATATAGGATCGCACGGGCCTTACTAGAGGTCCGTGCTTCTTAGTCCCGGCCACTGCCGGGGACTGTTCCGCGGACTATAGCCCGTAACACTTTATTATCTTATAATATACCGGCGGTCGACCTTCTTTCTTAAGGACTATTATAGTAGCGTAATATTACCTTTTCGGGTAATAGCCTACCTTAAGGTATAGTATAAAGATAGTACTTAGTCTTTAGTATAAAAGCGTTTTATATACTTTTAGGAGCCCTGCTAGGAGCCTATTAGGCCTTAGTACCGCCTAGGGTTTAGTCTTCTTAAGGCACCCCTATATATCTATTACGGTAATATTATAGCAGATATCCTATTTATAGGGGAATTCCGCGCTTAGGGGCCTAAGGGCGGTAAGGAGGGGGGGTTAGAAAAACGTCCGGTTAAGGACTTTGGCTTTCTCTGCGTGTATAGTGGTTAGGTTAATGTTATTATCTTAGCGTAGTAGCGGTATTAATAGGAGGTTTAGCGGTACTCCCTTTTGAGTTTATATCTATTTCTATAATCGCTAAAGGAGGTTATCGTTTTTCCCGGTCGCGCAGAGTAAATACCGCTAGTGTAGCCACTTCGCTACCGCTATAGCCTTATCTCGGCGCCTCTCCGCTTCCTAGAACTCGTCCTATTAGTTCCGGGACTTCCTGGATATAAATCTACGGTAAAGGCGCCTTATTTCCTAGGTACAAGCGGTTAGCTCCGTGTTTTATTAAGGGGTAGGTAGGAGTTTAGGGGTACCCTTACGGCGATACGGTATAGCCTTATTAGCTAGGGTTATAAGGCCCTTAATTAGGTTATTTAGTGCTAAGTTAATATCTCCTGGTATTATAAGGCGGCTAGTCCACTATAGTTATATAGCGGCAAGCTAAGGGACTTATAAGAGATTAAAGTCCTTCTAGACCTAATAGAGCCTTACTAGGCTCTATGGTAGTATTATTACGGTGCTCGCTATAGTATCTATCTTTATATAGATTTAGGCTATCTATAAGTAGTAATCCGACCCGATAACGGCTGTACTAAGGCCGTTAAAGTTATAGCGGAGCCTTTATATCGCCTATATAAGGTTAATAATACTAGTATACTAGCTTGAGTGGTGCTATATAGTAATTCCGGGGGGGGGGGGTACTAGGTCTAGGTTTTACTAGGTTATAAGGGTAAGCAGGGTATTAGCCCGGGGGTAGTATCGCGGTGGCTATAACTATAAAGGGTAGTATAGGTTAAAGTCCCCTATAAGGATATAACGGCCCTATAGCGGTACTATATCGAATATATCTTATAAGGATATATTCTAGGGGGTCCTAGCTTACTAGTAGTTCTCTAAGTAGATTAACTAGATTATAAGGGTATTATCTTTATTCCTAAAAGTGACTACGTAGATATCGCGGTAGGCCCGCTACGTCTATATATATAGCGGGTATCTTTTATAGATATACAGGAGGGCGCGGCCCTATCCCTAGATTAGCCAGTATACCCTTTAGGAGGGGTAGGCAGGGCTTTTCGTAAAAGGGTTAAGGCTAGGTTCCTAGATTATTATTATATTATGCTTAGCGCGGTACCGAAACAGGAGCTCCCGCCACGCCTAACTCCTTCTTATATTCTATAAAAGGATATAGATTCTTATTAATTAGAAGGGGGAGGGGATAAGATAGCGTGCCTAGTATAACCGGGGTTTAGCTTTAGCTTTATAGCTCCTACTACGGTACCTTACTAGCCTTATAGTGAATTATATAGGCGCTTATTACGCCCGGTATTAAGGAGCCCTCCTATCCTCTAATCTTTTTCGGGGGGCGTCCTTTACCCCTATAAAAAGGCTAATGCTAGTCCTAGGCGATAATAATCGGGGGGAAGATCTATAGCTACCGTGGGTATACCGCTTCGGTCTAGCAGGTAATATTAAAGTCCTTAGCTTAGTACTTATACGCTTCGCGGGTCTTTTTAGCCTTTTTCCTTAGTAATCGGTATAAATCGTTAAAGGTATTATAATCTCCGGTGTAGGCGGTATAGCGGCGGGGACGGCTTAGCACTATAGTATTATAATACCCTAAGCCCTATAAGTACGCTAATTCGGGCTTAGCGTAATAGCGGTATACCCTCTTTACTATAGGGTAGCCGTTAGCTTTATAGCCGAAGTATAGGTATTTATAGTACCTTAGGGGGCTAAGGTTAGGATTATATAGTTTATAGATATAGCTACCCCCCTTAAAAAAGAGGGTATTCCGGATAAGGCTTACTACCCTTTCGGGTAAAGCCGATTCGATAAGGAGAAGCGTTACCCTACTAGTACCGCGGCGGAGTACTCGCTATTATACTTAAAGGATTTTAGCCTTAGGATTTATATCTTATAAGGAGACTAGTAGGTCTTCTTCGGATAGGGCGTTAAGGACCTCCTAAGGGTTAGCCTTAGCGAGTATAGGGTAAGTATATACGGCTAGGGTAGCTTCTTTACTAAAGGCCTTCTTAAGCTACTATTGCTTATAGGTTGTTTACTATCATATCCCTTCGGTAAAAGTAAGGTAAATATCTCCGCTAAATAGCTTTTATACCGTTATAGCATTATATTAGGTAATTATAGTATTTATAGCTTAAATAATTTCCTTTAGGGTCCTGGCTCTAAGGGGCTAGTTTTCGGGGAGGGTTCTTTAAGGGATGATTAGTTCCCGGTAATACTTAGCAGGGATCATTTTAAGGGGGGCGGGTTCTATAGCGGTACCGCTGCGGGAGCTCGGGCTATAATATTAGCCTAAGTTTTTTTTATATTACTTATTCCTTTTCGGAGTTCCTCTTAGATACTATAGCAGATAGATATATATAGGTATACTAGCGGTAGCGTGTTAGCGTTATTACGGGTACTATATATCGTAATTAGTTCTTTTATTAACTCTATAACCTACTTAATCGTGTTTCTATTAGCTAATATGGCCTAAATTTCTACCTTAATCTTAGCTACTCTCGGTTCCGGGGGGCGTGGTAGTCCCTTTTCGGTCTTATATCGGCTCCCCGCTATATCCAGCCTTTAGGGGGGGGGGAGCGCTTATATTACGAAAAGTAGGTTTATTACGGATTCTGTATAGTCGAGGTCGGAATAACGCTATCCCAGGATTCTTCCGGCTATACCGTAGGGCTAGTATTACGGTACCGCTCTAATAGTATCCTGGGAGGGAGGCGGTAGTTATAATCTCTATCTTAGTGGTTTTATCGATTATACTCCTATTACGCGCCCGTGGTTAATAGGTGTATCGAAATCCGTGTAAGTTGTATTATATATCTTTATAAGCCTTCTTTAATATTAAGGATATATGGTCTTAATTAATATAGTTAAAATACTTAGTATTATTATATTGAAGCTATTATAACTTATCTATACTCTTTAGTAAGTACTTCTCTATATATATTACTATTAGTAGGATAGACTATATATATAGCCATTTATAAAGAGAGCTTTATAAGGGTACTCTAAATATAATATAAAAGTATAATAAAAGCGGGATAAAACTAGAGTATCTAATATAAAGACAAAGGAGATAATAAATAATAAGTAAAGGAGCTTATAGATTATAAGATATAAAATACGATATTATAAGTATAGAGTATAGTATATAATATCTTAAACTTCGAATACCCTAAAGTGAATACGAACGAAAAATATAAATAGAAGCTCAAGAATTAAATATACCTATAGCGATATATTTTTATAAGCATACTATAACTCTCTACGTTTATAAAGCTTGCTCTTTATAGCTACTTTTAATATTATACTTATATTATATAAATATCTAACTTTCCCTTAATTCGTATAAAAGAACTAAAACATAATAGAATATAATACAAAACTTTATATTAGATATTATAGATAAAACTATCTTTAATGAAAAATATAAGCAAGGAATAATAAAATAACAAAATACCCTTTTAAGTAAGATATTAAAGGCTTACCCGTATTATCTAGCAGCTAAGCCCCCCCCTCCCGGGCGAGTAGTGAGATTACCCCCCGTAGGAGCGAGAGCGGCGGCCTTGCCCGTAGGGCAAGCTGCTAAGCTCGTTCAATGTGACATTACCTCGCCTTCGGGAACGTCGCCCGAAAAGAACTCAGAGGCACAGCTCGTTCCTTTAGCTTAGTAGACGCACCATGTTCGAGGATTGTAGGAGGAGGCCGCTCCATTGTATAGACGCAACGTACACCTAATCCCTCGAGGTAGTCCAAATTTCGAGTATAGTTAGTTGCGACCTGACAAATCCCGTGGCTATCATCCGAGAAAGTGAAACGCCCTCCGATCCTCAGCCATTCCTGGATCTGTCTTAGTAATGGTCGTGTTGAATGAAGCACGGATGTTCTGCCTGCTCTTAAACTCACCTCGGCGATGACTCGACACGGGTAGGGTTCGGCGAGACCCTTCCGCAGCGCACTGCTATTACACTCGAGCAACCCATTGTACTGCTTGATAAACTTCAGATTCCGCGTAATACGTTCCCAGACTCTTGGCCACGTTCTGACATCACGTCCTGGCTCTTCACTCATAAGCCGGATGAGGTCAATGTGTCCCACGACCGGTGGTTGCAGGGTGGTCAGCATCTCGTACTGCTGATCATAATACTGCTCATACAGTGTCTCCTCGGAGCCACGCGCCGACTCAAGAGCGCTCGCGTACAGGGCCTTATCGTAATCAATGGCGATTCCATTCACGTGATGGATGCTTCCGATGAAGTAGTCGACCGCTGGGTGGGCAGCTAAAGACCGAATAAAAGGACCATAGGCGGGGCGACACCACTCGCCCTCAAATCCGATCAGGATTTGGATCTGAGACGCATATTTACCCCGCAAGCGCTGAGCCTCCTCAAGATAGGCCTCGTGCCGAGGTGCAAGCTCTGCCAGAGAGGTCTCTGGATCCGGTTCGAGCTACAGGACCAATGCTGTGAGTATCTAGCGAGTTGTGAGGGCAGAGCATTTTACTTGCCTCTTCTGGGTACAAATCTGTAACCGCCAGCCGGGGCATGTGTTCGGTGAGGCCAATCGTTTTGAAGCCAATGCTAATGGCATGGCGAATGATATCCTCAAGTTGATCCTTGGCATGGCCTGGGCAGAATTGCCCAGAATGGGAATGAATGCTGAACGCCATATCCCAGCTTTCTCACGCTCAGTGTATCGCCAGAGCCGCAGACCAGTATGTATTTTTTTCTTGAGCAAAGAAGTGCCAGGAGGATTGGGTCACACCACGTCACAGGATAGCAACATCCGGCAGCTATCTGTTAGACGAATCAGTCACTAATAAATACGCTACTAAGGTACCTTCGGAAGTAGACAAATTATTCGGCGCCTAAGGTACGTGTATTATCAGATGGAGGCTCCAGGATATGGGGGTGTGACTTCGGGACCTTTTCGGGTATAGTTCGGGTGTAGTCTGGGCAAGTACCAACGACTCCAAACAGCCCTAACCTCGGCTATATAAATAGTCACAGATACTTCCCGGGTACTTAGGCCTGAAAATTATCGTTTAAGGGAGTCCTAGCTAAGATAATCCTTAGCATAAAGTTTTATATTAGTGCGATAATAGGAAGTTAGAAATCTACTACCCTTTAACCTCTCCTAGACCCTTTATATGGGTTTTGGTTTTGACTTTTAATATAGTAAAAAGATTACTTTTAGTCTGACGTCTATAAAATTACTAAGTGATATAGTTTAGTTATTAATTTAGCTTAGATAAAAGACGAGGTTATTTTAGGTCTTCGTAGTCGAGGTATTACGACTAGCGTATATAGTGTTTTTAGATATTATATAGTTAAGCCTACGTAGGATTAGGTATTTTTATGCTTGGGTCTTAGACGTCTTTTATAGGTATATCGATTAAGTAACGTACGAATATATCGTGGCTTGGTTTAGTATAGAATACTTAATTAATGTTTATTTCAGTTATATATTCTTTATATTATAGGACGTTACTTTTCGGACGGAACGGATTACCGTATTCCTTTAATAATTCGTCTAAGGCCGAAAGCTTAGCGGCCTACCGATTACAACCTTATTTTAAATCGACTAATAAAACTAAGGAATTTTACAAGGTAGTCGATCATTAATATTAAGTAGAAAATCCTGTATTTCTAGTACTTTAGTACCCTATACACCTTTTTACGTATATTTATTAATTCGCTACTATAGTATTATAGTCTATAGATATAAATATCTAATAAACGCCGCGGCCTAAGCCTAGGTGCTATGCGCAGATACATAGTTATAGCTATAGCTGTATAGACATATAGTTAGCATTGGTGGATGAGTTAGCAGGGGGCAGAGACTACTTATTAGTTCTCTGCCATAGAGCTCTACGAGCTCTGGAGATAGCTCTACATCTTCACTTCTTTATTCTGACTGTTTATATCTTCGTCTGTGATGCCGTATCCGGTATATTAATGGTAGTAACTATTTATTACGACCGTTTACTATATTATACCCTTTTCTGTTATTTTTACTTATCTGTATTTTCCGCGCGTTTATTAATAATGTTACCTAATCTATTATTGTCCTCGCAGATCCTTAGTATATATCACGCACCCCTATAGATCCATAGATTTAACAGCACAAAGCTGTAGATATACAGCTGTTTTTCTCGTATTTTAATAACTTTAACGTCTATACTATCACAGCTTTTCAACTTATAGATTAAACGATTTCATACTTTTAAACGCCCTAAACGTTTTTATTTCTCACGTAATCCGCCTTTATATACTTATCAGCATAAGGCGTTCATTTATATCGTGTTTACCTCTTTTTTATTAATATTATCCAGTTATCAATAGTTAATAATACGATAATTATACCTCTACAGCGAACCTTATTCCTAGTTATAGATCTTCTTCCCTTATCTATAATCTTATAGCGTATACCTGCTATTCTTATTTCCCCTCCTACCCTCCCTTACTACCCTCCCCTGCCTATATCTTATAATAGATAGACCCGTTATTCTCTAAGGAGAAGGAACTTTTCTATATATATAAGTTCATCTAGGAATACCCCGATTAGGTATAGAAGTAGGACCTGCCTAATAGTAGTTTATTAATTATCGAATAGGAAGGATCTCTCTTATAGTAAAGAGCTAAAGCCGAGTATTAATAATCGTAGGCGACTACGAGATCTCCTAGATACCGCGCTAGGAGCTAATCGCTGGATTCCGGCCTAACCTTCCCCGTAGCGTGGTTAATAGATTAGTGGTAAGTAAAGGAATATTAACTATAGTCCTTAATTTCCTTAATATTACTAGGAGTAGGCTATCTAGTAAAGTTATTTCCCGGTAGGTAAGCGAAATGCCTTAGCCGTCTTCCTAATAGAGTATTAGAGGATAGTAGATCCTTCCTCTATAAGTAGTATAGTTTTCTTAATATATAGGTAAAGCGTTATAGTCTTCTTAGTGGAAATATAGGTATTAGAACTTTTCCTATCGCTTCGAACCCTACCCTTATAAGCTATTTAGCTTTATTTATACCTCTCCGATAAATTCCGTTAATAGTTCTTATTTGTAAATCCCGTTTAGATTATATTCCCGTGTTAAATAACTATAGGACTCTAATTTACCATAATCCTCGCCCTCTCCTTATCGGTCTTAGGAACTATCTACTAATATTAATTCTAAGCTAGCTATAATCCTGCAGAATTCTATAGATATAGATATAGATATAACTTAGGCTACGTAGCTAATGTCGGGTTAGTAGTAGCAGACCTAGTAGTAAGTAACGCAGGAGTAATAGCACACTATACACTAGTAGTAGTTAGTAAAGGAATAGCGACGGTAAGCAAAGTCGCGATATATCCCGTAATAATATAGGCAGTGCTAATAAACTTCCTAGTCTTATCTAGGCTTATAATAGTAGATTCCATAGACCTAATTTCCGTAGTAGCCGCCGGCGCTATAGGTTCCCGTAGCTTTAGTTATACTAACGAATAATCAGTTTTAGATACTCTTTAGTACCCTTATCTAAGTCGTAGAGAACGGAAAAGCCGGCTATAGCGGTAGCACGGGAGGTAACGGCCGATACTCTTTTCGCTGTAAGCTAAGTTTAATCGGATAGTTTAGTCTACCGGTAAGCCCCTTAGATCTATTAGCGGTATAGATAGTCTCTAGAGATAAGGTAATCTAGTATAATATTAACCTTTTTATCGAGAAGGTGGAGCTATTTACTTCTACTCCCGAGCTAAGAGAGGAGGCCCGTATTAATCTTAATACACTTTTTCTGGGTAAAGCTAATACCTAATAGATTAGTAGTGTTATAGCCGTATAGCGTAATAAGGTTTATCGTAGCCTGAATAATATATATACTCTACTCCATAGACGTTAGCAGATTAAACCAGAGATTATAGCTAATAAGATAAGCGATATACGTTTTATAGCACGCGATATTCTAGACGGTAAATTATTCGTAGAATAGGCTAACTAAGTGGCTCGCTATTATAGGGCTTTAGCTATTATAGTTCGTACGAATATCGACTTATAGTAGGAAATCTAGAACCGTATCGATCCCTCGCTTTATAAGATCTGCCCTCGCCCGGATATCGATAAATAGTTTAACGATTTTATATATACTATTAAGGACTAGATTACTAACCGCTAGTAATCTCTATAGTAATAAGTTGAATATGGTATAATCCATATAGATATACTCGGAGGTCCGTCCGCTACTCCTATTACTAGCGTTCTATTAGATAATAGACTATTTATATACACGGTAACGAATAAGGATACCGATACTAATAACGCTAATTACGGTTATTATAGCAGTAAAGGCGGCTCTACTAACCGTTTTTATAACCGATTCGCGGGTAACCGGTCTATAGATAATCGTTTCGGTGCTAGTAAAGGTCGGGGAAACTAAAATAACCGAGGTAACCGTGGTAATTAGAATAGTTAAGGATACCGTGGCCGCGGAGGCTATTAGGTTCGTAAAGGTAGTAGGTTCTACTACTAGGAACGATATCTATATACTTATCGTATATAATAGTGGGTTAAACCAGGACGATCGAATAATAGTAAATAGGTAGTCTATGTTATTATAGATAATCCTTATAGACTATAAGACGAGGAAGACCTTCGCGCGAAAGGTTTTAAGTTTATCGATGGAATTTTAAGCGAGGGAGAAAAGATATACTTTTACGAGACCGATAAGGTAGTTTCTAATATAATTAACGTCTATTATTCTTATTTTATAGGCTATACAGGCTATCCCTCTTCTCCTTAAACGTTATCCTCTATAGTCTATCGCACGGCTACGAGATTATAGATAGATACTTATAATCCTTATAGTAATAGATCGATTTCGACACCCCTATGAACCATAGGCGTGGAATAAGAGTAAAATCGATAAAACCACTAGGATAGAGATTATAACTACTACCTCCTTCCCGGGATACTATTATAGCGGTACTATAATACCGGCGCTAAGGTGTAGCCGGAAGAGTCGTGGGATAGCGTCGCCCCGACCTTAACTATATAGAATTCGTAACGAACCTATTTTTCGTAACACGAGCGCTCCCCCCCCTGCCCGTGGCAGGATATAGCGCGGAACCGATATAAGACCGAAAGGGGATTACCGCGCCCCCCGGAACTAGAAGTAACTAAGATTAGGGCAGAAATTTAGGCCCTATTAGCTAATAGGAACACGATTAACTAGGTCGTAGAGCTAGTAAAAGAACTAATCATAATACGTAGTACCCATAAGGACGCCGGTATAATACTATTAGTATACCTATACGTAATTATCCGCTACGTTATCCGTAAGGAACTCCAAAAAGGAATAAGCGGTATAAGAGAGACCTAGGCTAATATTATAACCTAAGTAATCGCGGCGGCGCCGCTACGGGACCCCGCCCCCCGTAAAGTAATCTCTGCTAGGCATTACCGGGAGCTAATAGTCCGTTAAGGAACCCTCCCCGAAGACTAGCCCCTTAGAGCCAGGACCCTAAAGGAAATTATTTAAGCTATAAATGCTACGACTACCCGATATAATACCGTAGCGGCACGGAAGCTACTTAGCGGTAATATCTACCTTACTTTTACCGAAAGGGTATAATAAGAAACCACCTATAAGGAGTTATAGGTTAAAAAGGCCTTTAGTAAAGGAGCTACCCTAGCTATATAAACCTACCCTACACTTACTAAGGCTATCCCCTAGGAGGTCCTTAACGCCTTATCCGAGGAGGACCTACTAG